CATTCCTAAAAGGTCCTTCCAATGGGGAAAGGACTGCCAATTCTGTTTCCATCCAGATTTCAGTTCATTTTTAATCCATCTCTGGGACTGAAGAAACAAAATAACTTAATAATTATCAAAGCTGAGTGCCCTGCAAGACAGGAACTCTCCTAGATTCATGTGAGTTTGTTTTTTTCGTTCAGATTTAGGATTTAACTCAGGGATAGGCCACCTGGTACCTCCAGATGATAAACTGCTTTAGATTTTTATGCATGTGCTGTGATTTCTGTGCTTCACATATGCTCCTGCAGCCTAGAAGTTGAACAGGAAAGGATTAAAAACTCATGGCCTGGGAGGACTAGAATGTAAGGGAACTATTGACCTGTCCGTTTTTCAACAAAACAGAAACCTTTTCACTTATCCTGTGCTTTAGAGCAACTCAGTTTTTATGGTTCAAGTTCTGTCTTCCCTGGGAGCTATGATCTTGTCTCGATGGCCACACCTTCCTCTGTGCCTACTAAGGGCTCCCCAGGCTACTAAGGGTTCCCGCGGCTTCCCTTGTTCACGCCTAACCCTTTAGTGCCATCTGAGGTACTTGGGGGTACAAGTCCTTGCCGAGAAGAACCAGGCCTACGGGCGGGGTCCCACAGGAGTGTGAACGGGGATGCTTTACCTGCTTATTCATGAAGCAGTAGATGATGGGGTTGTAGACGCACGCGCTCTTGGAGAAGAAGGCGGGAATGGTGACCAGCCGTAGGTCTAGCCCGTGGTTACGGTTGTTGACCATGTACATGGCCAGGGCAGCGTAGGGCACGTAACAGAGACAGAAGGATCCCACCATCACCACCACCATGCGGCTCACCTCCCGCTCAGCCTTCTGGGTCGAAGCTGACTCCTGCTGCTGGGCTGCAACCTGGGCAGAGCCCAGAGAAAACATCACACCCTCTTCTCCCCGGCCCTCAACTCCCAGATCTCTGGACTTTTTTTGTGTGTGTGTTTTTTTTTTACCAGGGGCGCATCTGCTCCAGTTGCCTCTGCTCTACCCCAGTTTCTGACCTAGTCCCTGCGGCTCTCCCTGGAGGAAGGCAGGACGGAGGCGGCTCTCTGGTCTGTGACACTGGAAGGGATCACATGCGTGTCTTGACGCCCCTATTTGAGCAGGGATGACCCCGCTTCATTCTGCACCCCCGTTCATCATTCTGCCTATCCCCACTCCCTTCCTTGCTTTTGGATATCCCCTCTACCTGGCTATGGCCTTTCCAGATGTCTTCTAAACACTCGCCCGCTCTTCCCTCTCACCTGGAGCCCCCGCCCCCTCCCCGACCCCCACAAAAGCCACTCACGGCTCTGAGGGCCCCCAGCAGCTGCGAGTAGGAGAAGCAGACGAGCGAGAGAGGCACGATGAAGCAGAAGATGAAGAGGAACCACGTGTAGTACTCGCTGCGATACTTGGTGCCCACGGTGTACCAGTCGGGGCCGCAGGAACACTGCAGGCCCTCGGGGATGAACCTGCAAGGGACCAGACACCCTCTGGGCGCCCTTGCTCACTGCGGGGGGGCCCCCCACAAGAACGTGGACGATGCCCAGGGACTGGGCGAGGAGGGTTTTCTGTCTTCACCAGTGAAGCAATTCGAACTGCAGAGTAAACTTTAGGACTTGTCTCCCCCAGCCCCTTCTCTCACCCACTCCACCAGTTCTTTAAAAAGCAGAGGTCAAAGACAAAAACGTTCCACCCAACTCTTCCCACCCGCCCCAGCCTGAGCTCCCAGCTAAGCCAGCATCACGGGCCTGCGCTCTCACCGGCTCCAGCCAAAGAAGGGCGGGATGGAGACCCCAATACCAATGGCCCAGGTGGCCAGGACCACCAGCAGCGCGTGCTTGGAGCTGAAGTGGAAGCTGCCGAAGGGCTTACAGATGACAATGTAGCGCTCAAAGGCTAGGAAGGCCAGCGACCAGCCTGTCACCAGACCTGTGGTGAAACATGAAGGTAATGGGACAGGCAGGCCAGCCAGCCTGGCAGGGGGAGTGAACTACGGGGAGACAGGGTTGGACTGATGGTTAGAGTTTGGGGCGCAGTGGGTCAAATTTCTAGTCTGGGCTGTGTACCCCAATATGCAAAAGAGCACCAGGCTCCTCTTTCGGGGTGCACTGCAGGCCGACAGCCTGCTCCCTGGTTCCAACCCTGGCAGAGTGTCCTTTGCCTCCCCGCAGCCCGCTTCCCCTGCAGTACCTGCTGTAGAGCCCAGGAAGGCCTCCAACGCGCAAACGCGGCGGCCAAAGATGAAGTATCCCTGACAGCTGGCAACGAAGACGGTGAAGACAGAGAAGATGCAGAAGAGGAAGCCCCCCAGGGACACATTAACCAAAATATAGTTGAGGGGCTGTCTCAGCTTTTTGTAGCGCAGTGTGGCCACCAGCACTGTGGCATTGAGTGGTGTCCCTACAAAAAAGACAAAACCCATGAAGGCTGCCTGGAGGTGGAAGGCCCAGACAGGGGCAATGTGGTATTGAGGCCCATCCCACGGTCCCACTGGGGAGATGTTCTTGAACAGATAAAACTCCTCCTCCCCTGACATTTTGCTCATGGGCGTCCCCACCCCCTCTGATTCCTCTTATAGGTTACCCTCCCCCCACCACTTCTCCCCACCTCTCCAAAGAACCCATCCTCCAAACCCAGTTCTGGGTTCCCTGAATAATCAGTGCTGATCCTAAGCCTCCTAAGGACAACATTTTGGATTAGAGACGCCCCCCAAGCCCCCACTTAAACCTCCTTTTGCAGCCCCAAAGCCGATCGTATGTTCTTCAGAGGATAAAAGATTGGGCTCAAAGACATGGGTGTGCAGTACTGGAGCTGGAATAGACAAGAATCAGCCCACCAGGGCCTAGCAGATGCTGCCCCATATTTAATAAAGATGCTTACACCACTTTTTAAAGATTTTTTATTGATTTTGAGAGAGAGAGAAGAAAGAAGAAAGAATCATCTATATGAGAGCAAAACATCTATCTGCTGCCTCCAACAAACCTCCTACCGGGCATCAAACCCACAACCCGGGCAACCTTTCGGTGCACAGGACAATGCCCAACCAACTGAGCCACACCAGCCAGGGCTTCTACCACTTTTTTATTTCCCCTTTGAATGGAGCTCTCAAGGGCACCTGTCTCCTTTAGCTTCTGGCACCACTCTATCCCTATAGGTGTCTGCACCCCATCTGCCCCTTTGTGGAAGTTGCCCCTAAGTCTCCCTCTCCAGAGATCTTGGCTCTCAACCAGCCTGGGAACCAGCCTCGGGCTGCAGGAAGGGACAGGGAATGTGGGATGTCCTGGGAGCGCCTTAGTAAACAGGCTTCAGGGAAGGTACAGGGCAACTTGACAATGCCTAGAGGTCGAGATCGCCCCAGGCTCTGTTTCTTCATGTTGAGTCTGCCCCAAGAGTATACCTTTCCTGCTCAGGCTACCCCAGCCAAGTTGAGGTCGGTTTGCTCAGTGTCCCATGTTCATGCCTGACTCTGCCCTTAGCTCAGCAGTGCCCAAGCTGTCACAGTCTTTTCTCCTGTCTGCCCATCCAGGTCCTTCCCAGCCTAACTCGCTGAGACCCCTTCTGTGAAGCACACCCCAGTGACTCCAGCTCTGCTGTAAGCTCCACCTACACTTACACTCAACACTACGCTTCAGCCCTTGTGACTATCTCTTCCCCACCTCTGTAAGCTATAAAAAAAAAAAAAAAAAAAAAATTTAATGTATAGCTAAAAGTGACACACATTACATATAGATAAAAGTGAAGGAATGGCCCAGTAATGGCAGAGTAGTATGTATTAGATGAATTTCCCCATAGACAAAAGTTATAACCTCTGTATAAAATATGAAAAACAATAACTTGGAAGCACTATAAAGTACCCCAAAACAGGCAGAAACTGAAAGAACCCAACACTTGAATGAGAGGAACTATCTACATTTAAATGGTTTTTTCCCCAGGGCACTCTTCAGTCTAAATGACAAGGAACAGCTGGAACGAAAGCAGAAAGCCTCAGCCTTTGCTGCCTTGAAGAGTCAAAGGATAGAGTCTGGGACTTCAGAGCAGCTGAAAATAGAAGGTAGCTTCCTGCAATGACGGAGGCCACAGAAAGGGAAGCCTTCAAATCTGAATATAAACTCCCCTCAAATCCTAGGCTGACTGCTGAGTTCTTCATGGAGCATCTCCAAGGACCCCAGCAAAAGGCGAGAGCTGGTGTGAAAACTGAGCAGAGATTTGGGCTGCGACCCACTGCGGCAGAGAAAGAGTTTGAGTTCAGTTCCCACAAGCTAAAGGAGCTGGACAAACACTTCAGCCTCTCCATTTGAAACTCCTACCAGGCCACACCTTACGACTAAAATCTATGCCCTCGAATCCTGAGCTAAAAAGGCTAGATGGAGACTTGTCAGTCACTTCTAAAAGACTGATATTTCTTTTTTTTCTTTTTTTAAATATGTCTTTATTGATTTCACAGAAAGGAAGGGAGAGGGGGAGAGAGAGAGAGAGAGAGAGAGAGAGAGAGAGAGAGAGAGAGAGAGAGAGAGAGATCAATGATGAGAGAGTCATTGACTGGCTGCCTCCTGCATGTCCTCCACTGGGGATCAAGCCCGAAACCAGGGCTTATGCCCTGAAGGGGAATCAAACCACTATCTCCTGGATCATAGGTTGATGCTCAACTGCTGAGCAACACTGGCCAAGCTGAAAGACTGACATTTTAACACACACACTCCACACAAACACTCACCTACAGGTAACATTCTCGGCAGAGATCCAGCTAAGGATCCAGGAATTGCAAGTCCACCTGGCCTCCACTAGATTGCCTGAGTCAGCACAACCCTTGCCCTGGGCAGACCCTTAGGACCAGGACCAGAGGCCACCCCTGAAGGCAGTGTTTGAAATGCCAATCCCTGAGCAGGGCACATGGCCCCTGGACTGAGTGGAATGAGTCAGCCTCAGCTGTCTGCTGGGCTCTGCTGAGGTGCCCACCTCTGCAAACAGTTCTGATAGGAGCCCGCAAGGGCAACCCCTGGGCTTAGGCTCCCATCCAAAATGATGTGGTTGAAAGACACTCCAGGCCTTCTTACTCTACTGTCCAGGACAGGTGGCTGCACCTTTCACCTCTCCCTGTTCTGACACCTTCCAGACAGTCCCTTCTCACCCTATTCCACTCCACTTCAGAAGTAAGGGCAGGCCCTGGCCAGGGAGCTCAGATGGTTAAAGTGTCATCCCAAGATACCAAGGTTGTGGGTTTGATCCTTGGTCAGGGCACATACAAGAAGCAACCAATGAATGCATAAATAAGTGAAACAACAAATCGATGTTTCTCTCTCTCTCTCTCTCTCGTCAATATAAATAAGTACATATATACATAAATAAGTAAATAAATAAATAAATAAATAAATAAATAAATAAATAAAGGCAATGGGCCCAAGTTAGGGGCAACCTAGCCCCAGTTAAGAGGGGGCAGAAGCTAGGCCAAAAAGAGCCTTACCCAAGCCTAGAGTCTCACTGACACATAAGCAAGGGACAAAAAAACTACAGAGTCAGTGAAGCCATGGAGCAAGGGGGGCAGGGAGCATGGGGTAAAGAAGCAAGGTAACGATATAAAAACAGGAGACATTTTAAGTATATTTAACATATATAGTGCCCTTTTCAGATTTAAAGTCACTTTGTTAATTTAGGAAAGTGATAATACGCTAAGGCTTCACAGGAGATCATGTTGGGTATATTTAGACCAGGGTTCCCAACCTCAGCCCTACTGACATATTGGGTCAGACAATTCTTCATCATGGGGCTGTCTTGGGCACTGCGAGATGTTTCACAGCCTCCCTGGTCTCTACCCACTAGATGCTAATAGCAGCAGCACCACCCGAGTCATAACCAAAAATGTCTCCAGACATAGAAGTCCTCTGAGAGTCAAAATCACTCCCTGCTCCCCTCCCCTCTGGTTGAGAACCAGTGGTTTAGATTTAGACTTATAAATGCCCAGAACTGAATGGAAAACAGTCAAGAGAAAAGTTGTTTTTCCAGTCATTCTAACTGTCCAGGAAAAAGGAAAGTCCTAGCAAAAGAGCCTATTTTCTAAAGAGTTTCAGGGTCCCCTCTCCCCCACTGTTCTCCAGGAGTTTACTCCAGGAACAGTTTATTTCCATGAATAGTATAAGGGAGGCAGGCTTGCAGGAATATGGGGAACACAACAGGAAATCATGCATCAAATGCAGGAGCAGAAGAAGAGGAACGACAGTGGAGAGTCCAAGAGACACGAATGAAACTGAAAGTGACCACCCTGTGAGGTCCCTATGGATGGACCACATTCGTGCTTTCTAGCAGCTGCTCATTCATATAATGCAGTGTCCAAAAAGTAAATGCAAGCCAACTGTTCTTGGGAGTAGACTTCACAAAGGAGACACTGGCGTGATATAATAAACAATGTCCTCAACAACTTTTTTGAGTAGACACCAGTTTCACAGGATTGGGTCAGCTGCTGACTATTACCCCTCAATATGGACTCAGCACAAAGTTGGAAGTGGGCATAAGCCAGAACCCTCAGGATGGGGGCCAGTGCCAGCTCTGCTGGGCTGCTCTGAGCCAGGGGACGTTTCAGCTCTCTGGAGGGTTGAAATGCATTTCTCCCTATTCTCTCTGATGATTGCTTCTCTCTGCTTAGTTGGTTGTTTTGTGTGTGTGTTTTTAATATATCTTTATTGATTTCATAGAGGAAGGGAGAGGAGGAGAGTGATAGAAACATCAATGATGAGAGAGTCATTGATCAGCGGCCTCCTGCATGCCCCCCACCAGGGATCCAGCCCGCAACCTGGGCATGTGCTCTGACCGGGAATCGAACCGCAATCTCCTGGATCCTAGGTCGAGGCTCAACTGCTGAGCCACGCCCTGCTGAGCTCTGCTTAGTTTTTTAATAATTTAATTTCTGTTTTGAGTGAATTTTATATATATCTCCACAGCTCAAAATTCAATACATAGAGTGAAAAGTAAGTTTCTTTCCTAGCCACCCAGCTCCCCTCTCCAGAGGCAATCAGCATTCACTTTTTGTTATGTTTTTTTAAAAAAGTTGATTTTAGAGAAAGAGAGGAAGGGAGAGATTGAGAGAGAGAGAGAAACATCACTTTGCTGTTCCACTTATTCACGCATTCATTGGTGGCTTCTTGTGTGTGCCCTGACCGGGGAATCAAACCCACAACCTTGATTTATTGGGACGATGCTCTATCTAACCAACTGAGCTACCTGGCCAGGGTACTTTTTGCTGTGGTTTTTGATGTGTGTGTGTGTTATGTTCCATTGAGTGGCTCCGATTTCTGGTGACCCTATGAGTGAGTGATGTCCACAATGTCCTGTCCCCAACAGCCCTGCTGAGCTCCTGCAGACTCATGCCTATAACTTCTCTTATGGAGTCAGTCCATCTTGTGCTTGGTCTTCCTCTTTTCCTATTTTTCCCCAGCATTATTGTCTTTTCCAAAGACCCCTGCCTGCTCATCATGTACCCAAAGTAGGACAGCTTCAGTTCTGTCATTTATGCCTCCAGCAACGCTTCAAGCTTAATTTGCTCTAGAACATCAC